GGAATTCCCGCCCGCGATGGAAAAATCCGCGCCGTCTGAGGGCATGAGAAGAACCAGCTGATCGGGGGAGTATATAATGCCTCGAGGAAGAAGCTCGGGATCCAGATCACCTTCTGCCTCTGAAGCTGCAACACCTCCTCAGCCAACATGAAGTTGGTGAGTTTTTGTGTCCTTTTGTTTTTACTTATGACGAATTTCCTTTGATGTGTATGCTTGTGCGTGTGTGCGTGTGTGTGGTTGTGTAGCCTATTGCGGGGCTATATGTTTAATCTTTCTTTCCTTCTTATACAGCCTGCACAAAATAAGGAAACGAATGTCTGTGTGTGTATGTGCTCTCTATATATGTAAATCTACCTTCCATTTTAGAGCGATAGATTTCTTTCGGAAACAAAAGATAACACTCACTTTAACAAATATATATTAGAAAAGGAAGCTCTATTCAAGAAGAATCACCAATTCATTTCAGTAATAAAAATAAACAAAAAAATGACCGCCATTCAAAGACCCGAGTAATTAATTCATTTAGATATTCAAACGCAGAGAATAAATGACTAGTCTACATGATGCACATACGATTGAGGACCAAGTCATATGTTCTACAAAAATCGCTTACATAAAAAAAAATTCACAAAATTCGTCTTTCTGATAGATAGTAATTGTTCATAATCACGTTCCCTCAGCTCTGCATGAACAAGTTAAGAAACTGGTCAGAACGTGCAAGAAAATTGACATTAGTCCTTTTTCTTTTTCTTTTTCTTTTTGTATGAGTTGCATGACCGTTATCATCTAAGGAATAAATCAAAGGAGAGTGGAGTAATGTTTTTTTCAGCACGTGTAAAGCATATAGGTATGTATTCCTGTGGGCGTCGGATATCCACTATTATGTCCCCTCTTAAAACAATTTAGATTTATCATGTTTCAGATATGTGTTTCATTACCTTACCATAGTGAATTAACGACACAATATTCTCACAATCATAAACACACACACACATTATATATATATATATATATATATATATATATATATATATATATATATATATATATATATATGTATGTATGTATGTATGTATGTGTATATATACATTATATATGTGTGTGTGTATATATACATATACATACATATGTACGTTTGTATGTGTAAGGAGATATATTTATATAAACAGACAGATAGAGAAAGAAAGGGAGAAAAAGATTTATATTTCACATGTGCAATTTCACAAGAAAACAGTTTACCAGAATTTGAAACTGAAGTCCAGGTATGTTTCGTCCTACGCAGATTTCCTTGTTGATGGCCATGGCCGTGGCCCTGTCCTGCTTCATGGGGTCTGCCCATGCCATGCCCGAGCCCTATGCCCTTCCTGACGCAGAGGCCGAACCCTGGCGCCTTAGGCCCTACGGTGGCCACTATTTCTACCACTATAGGCCGTACAGATTCCATGGTCATCACCACTACGGCTAAGCAGTCACAGAGCGCAGTGCAGAAGACCGCCTTACGCCAATAAGGATTTCTCTTCCTCTTTCTATCTCTGCCTATGTCTGTCGAAGATCCCTCTGCGAACGCCAATGTGAACCGAAATTTCTGCCTTCGTCCGCAATGATTTCTTCAAGATTTCAAAAGACTCAAAATGTATCGAGAAAAAAAATGGAACTACTGCTTCTTTCCGATTAAAATTCGTGCAATGACAGTGTTTGTTTCATTTTTCTGAATGACATTATTGAATTGAATCAGTGCAATTATTGGTAGGACATATATCCGGTTAAGGTAATTTCAGTCTAACAAAATAAAAAATGCAGTGTTTTATTTTATCTTTCATCCACACGCGTACACACACATATCTATTTTATATCTATATGTATGTATATGAGTGTGTGTGTGTGTGTGTGTGTGTGTGTGTGTGTGTGTGTGTGTGTGTGTGCATACATGTATCTTGTAAAATGCATCAATGATCACCGTAAGTTAATGATCATTACAACGTTCAGTTGGTTAATATCATGAACGGAAGAACAAATAGAGGAATATGTAGATTCCGGATCTTCATTCCATCTCTCTCTCTCTCCTTCCCTGTATACATGTGTATACATATATTTATGCATATATATGTTTCCGTGTCTTATTTGCTTAAGTATATACGTCTATGTTGAATGTAGTATCAAGGCGAGCCGTATCTACCAATTAGAGATCCTTGACTGTTAAATAATTACTTTGTTACACTATTAATTCATAACTAAGTAAATGGTTGTTTGACCTAAATCATTATCGACTGCCATAAAATTTAATGGTGGTTTGCTATGAACAGTTATGTTCCCCTGAAGATGGGTGATTTAAACTCGAATCGTTTGGAGAAATATCTTGTGTTCAAATTAAATTGCAAATCTTAACGCCTATATATATATATATATATATATAATATATATATATATATATATATATATGTATGTATGTATGTATGAATATATGTGTATATTTATGTGTGTGTGTGTGTGTATGTGTGTG